TGAGAGAGAGAGAGAGAGAGAGTAAGAGAGAGAAAGAGAGAGAGAAAGAGAGAGAAAGAGAGAGAGAGAGGGAGAGAGAGAGAGAGAGTTAGAGAGAATAAGTAATAAGTAAGTGAGGTTTTGACGACTCTTTTGAACTCATGATAGAGATATGAATTCGTTTTATTTCTTATTTAATGTGTGTTTGTATGTAAGACTGTTTGTGTATCTGTGCATCTGTGTATCTGTGTGTTGCGTGTGTGCTGGCTTTTGTATCAATGTGTGTGTTTGCGTGTGTGCTGGCTTTTGTATCAATGTGTGTGTTTGAGTATATGCATGTGTGTGTGTGTGTGGGTGTGTGTATGTGTGTGTGTGTGTGTGTGTGTGTGTGTGTGTGTGTGTGTGTGTGTGTGTGTGTGGAAAAAAGGGGCGGGGGGGGTCACTTTAAAAAATCACGCCATTTCGTAGACTGCATTTGGGAAGAAATAGCTTTCGGCTGTCTATTACGTGTATGTAATTTTTCAGAATGATGAAATGAATTACTCAAGCCAGTCCTGATTTCGAAGTAGATTTATTGACTTCCATTGACCTTTCTTGCTCATATAACCTTATGACATAGCTAAACGTTTTCTTTAATGCTATAACAGGTAAAGGTGCTCTCTTACAAATGATTAAAGATAAAATAGATACAGGAATGGAATATTTATATATTAAAAGTTGAAGAACAATACAAAAAATAATAAAAGAAAAAAAGAAAGGAAGGAAAAAGAAATTTTAATTATTTTTAAAATAAGCCACAAGAAAAAAAAATAATAATGATATCAAATATAAAATCCAGCATTTTACCTTATCAACATTGTTATCAAAACTTACGTTTTAAACACTCAGTCTTTAGTTTTAGACTTCCTTTTAATCATTATAATATCCGAAAAAGAGGGCATTTTCAGCCTGGTCTTGTAACCACAACATTATATCTAATATTTATCACCGTAGATGAGTCTAAAAGCCGCGGCGTCCTGAAAGATTTTGAGAGCATTTCTTCTGTTCTGTCTTGCTGCCTTAGCCAGATCCAAGATAGTTGGGGGCCTGTGGCAGAAAAGTATAGTACATTACGTCAGTCTCCGTCTTGTATTATCCCCATTTTTACAGGGGAAATATAGACTTCAACATAAGTTTCAGGACCACTTGCAAACACTCTGAGTGATCTTCTTGGGTCGACCTGCAGGTGAGCATTCTTGGACTGATCCAGTAACTTGATGGCGCTGCCTCAAGCGGGCAACGACAGAACGTGACACTGCAAGCCTTCTGGCAACTTCTCCGGCTCCAACTCCATCCTGCAGCCATGCCATAGCCCTGGCATGATCAAAGTCTCTCAGCTTTTGTCTCAGTTTCATATTGATGCGATACTGGATTTTGCGCAAACGGCGGCTTACATTGCTGTCAAAGTGAGCACAGTTCGAGACCGTACGTCCGTTTATGACGAGCACCAGAAATTTTAATTGAGGAACGCCCAGTGTGTTGCACACAAGTCCATAAAAAACAGGAAATTTGGCTAAAATTCTCCGGAGATTTCCGTCCTACACGTGGTGGTTTTGCCCCTTTATGAAGCTCTGCAGTACGCACTGGTAAGCCATTAAAACACTTTCAGAGTTTAAAAATTTGAAACATTCCTTGCTGTCTTTTTTTGGGAGGGGGAATTTTTTTTAAACATCAGGGCTGTTTGTCAAGGTGGTCCTTAACTTATGTTGAAGTCTGTGCATGTAGTATAGGTTTAACGCCCCTATCAACACTATTAGGTTATTTGAGAGGCGGGACTTCCGACTGTAACGTCCATCTCCGGAAGGACCGAGCTAAATGGGAAATTCGTGTAAAGTACCTTTCGCAAGGACGCGACGTCAGACCGAGCCAATGATAGTACATAACAAGATGGGCCACTTCTCTCTTTGAGCCAATTAAAAAAGTGTCCTCAAAATTTGGTGGCGCCCTCTTCACAAAAGCGCACTCTTTGCGAACAGAGTTACCCTACTTGAGTTTTTAAAAATCAAAGTGAAACTAGCATGTTTTGGGATAAATTTCGGAAGAACGCTTTTTTTAAATGGTTACGCTGACAAAAAACCTTTTCCGGAGGAAAGGGTGATGGTTTTCTTCGTTTAATTTGACTTTAGAATGAAAGGCGAGAGGTCATTAAAATTTTAAAAAAACCTAAAACTACGCACTGAACGTACCCGAACTGTTGATGAACAGCAGTCGATCTGCGCACGCACGAAGGTGCTATTCCTATTCTTCTTCTGGAAAAACGAAAGAGAGCTTCAAAACAGACTGCAGCGCCATCTGAAGCAAAGAGCATACTTCCTGCGGACACTTTTTTGGCTGAGTGAACCATCTTGTTATGTACTATCTTTGACCGAGCTGAGGCTCTAACCTCCGAATCCCCAACCTCACGATTACCAGCCGGGTAGTCTAACCCAAAAACATAAACCTGAAGTGTTTTCGCATGGCTGCTACTTATTTCAAATGTGGCCCAGTTGGGAGGGTAAGTACTGTTAATCCCCTGCAATTTCAAACCTGTTTGTTCACAAAGACAATTTAACGTTTTTGGAGATAGGATGGGAATCGGTTTTTTGTTGTTGTTTTTTTTACTGTGCTCCTATGAAGGCAATCAAAAACGGATCGGTGTCTAAATATGGAATAAATAACTGAATTCTCTCCAAAGGTATTCGCCTAAATCAATGAGTGCTTGTTGTTGTGTGTGGCGGGTTTGTTGATTGCTTGTGTGTTTGTTAGTGTGTGTGTTTAAATGTTTGTTTGTTTGTTCGTTTGTTTATTTGTTATTGTTGTTGTGTTGTCTTTTATTTATCCAGTTATACGCTTCCTCAAAAGGTTGGTGCTTTCAATGCATCCAAAAATTAATGAAAGTTTTCCTTGTTAACCCCTTCCCCCACCCCCACCCCCACCCCCCGACCTTCAACAAAATAGACACCCCCTTAAAGCATATCCATGAAAAAAGAACACGCCATAACAAACTCAAAAGCTGAAAATGTAATAGAAAATTGCACATTTATTGAAGTATAGAAAGTGTTTATTAGCTTCTTTTTTCACATTCAGCGCAGAATTCCACAGTGAGCAGAAATCCTACAGTGGAGAAAGCGTCACATTTTGTAGAGTATCGTACTTATTACAGGTTGGCCAGGAAGTGTGCCTGTGCAGTTAAATAGTTTGCTCATTGTTTTTATATTCAAAAGAATATTTTTTATGTTTACTAAACAACTTTAAAAAGCCGACAAGACAGCCAAAGATCTCGTCTGTTCTGTGAGAAATCTTTTTATGTACTTTACCTTACCCCACGTTGCAATAAAAACTGAATTTTTGTGCAAAAAGCCGACTCAACTAAAACAAAAATAAATAAATAAAACAATACAAAAGCAGAAAAAACCCTAGAAAAGTTTTTCTTTTCTTTTCTTTTCTTCGTGGATGTCCCAGCATATAACATACAGTAGTTAGGTGTTATTCGAAGCAATGTGAGGAAAGTCCCAAAACACAAGCATACGTATTGAATTCTGTAATGTATAAAACACGATTTCTGTTCTAAATAGACTTGAATGCTATTTCATTTAGTTCATTTTTTTTCTTGCTGTCTTAAATCCGTTCAATTTCAAAGCCAAAAGACCTTAGAAAAAGAAGGAAAAAAAGAGTCCTTCATTGCGATCCTTTGGCGTTCTCTCTTTCGTAGCTTCTAATTGAATTATCGTTTCGTCTGATTCGCCGCGCCAGTTCAAGAAGAGTAGGAATCCTGGGAAACATTTCAAAGTATTATCGCCCAAATGGATAGCACATTGCATTAAAACTCGAATGCACATACATAAACACACGCGCACACACACACACACACACACACACACACACACACACACACACACACACACACACACACACACACACACACAAACACACATACACTCACAAACATACACACACAGAGACACGGACTGAAATGGACTCGAATTTTTCACAACACATTCATCTCACTATGCACTTTTAAAAGCATCTC